TTTTTTTTTTTTTTTTTTTTTTTTGCTGGGACCTTCCCGGGTCTTTGCACGGCCGGGCCGCCCGGGAAAACAAGGTAAGCGGGCCCCCCCGGCTGGTAGCCTAGTAATAATAACATGGTTACACCGGACCCGGACACCGGACCGGTCCAGACGTCTGACCGGACCTGTGTCTGGACTGCTCCAGACCGTCCGGATTGAAAAACACCCTAAAAAAAAAAAACATTTTTGTTTTTTTTCTCCTTGGATTTGGCTAGGAATTTCGAGATGGTCCTCGGCCAAAATATTTTTGTATTGCAGTTCTGCATAACATATCTTTTTTTAAATCGGATTTTTTTTGGGAGTGGGGATGACAGAATGGTTCCGGACACTCTGGACCGGACACCAGACCCAGACCGTCTGCACTGCGGTCTGGATGTCCGGATCGAAACCATGAATAATAATAATAATATTAGTAAAGTAATGCTAGGCTGCACCTGGCCAAATCTTCCCGGAAGACCGCCTGGCTGCCTGGCCATGCAGATCCCCCGGGTGAGGTGCCGGGTGTATTTTGCTCCTTCGCTTTGGGCCCCTTTCCAGACCCAATGGCCAGCCTGGTGCACTGGGTGCAGCTCCTGGAGCGCTGGGGCGAAGTCCCCCCAAAAAAAGTCTCCCACTATTTTTGTCATTAGGGGAGGTTGTTTGTGTGGAGTGACGACGACGCTCATGTGATTCTTAACATTACATTGCAAAATAATTCTGTGTCGACGCCTGAGTCTGTTCAAGCCTGTTTTCAGTCTGCTCGAGTCCGTACATCCGTTTGAGTCCGTCTGGTTCTGTTTTGGGTCTGTAGGTGTGTTTCCGTCTGTCTAATTCTGTCCTGGGTGAGTTTTCTGTTTGAGTCTGTTTGAGCATGTTTTGAGTCTGTGTTTGAGTCTCTTTTGAGTCTACAGGTCCATGTGAGCCTTTCTAATTCTGTTTTCAACCTGTTTTGAGTGTGTTTAGTCTGCTTTAGGTCTGTTTTTAGTCTGTTCGAACTTTCTTTTTGTCTGTTTTGGGCGAAACCTGGAAGCGTTTTATAAACAAAAATCAGCCCAGATTCAGACGGAGCCAGGTGGCCGCAGAGGTGGCCCATTTAAAAAAAAAGAAAAACAACAAAGGGCTGATTATTGCACAGTGAAAGCTGGGCGACTTGTCTGGGGTGCAGGCCATCCCGCACTTCTGGGCAACCCAAGTAGCCTACTAATAATGATGATGATGATGATGATATTATTATAATTATAGTAATAATCAGGGTAACCAGCCCGTACGTACGGAGGTCCTCGGGCAGACCTCCGTACGTACGGGCGTTTGGGATCCCGTACGGGGTCCGAACCCGACGGCGTTCGGCCCCGGCAAAAATTATTTCGGGGCCTAAAAATAATTAATTTGTTCTGATTTTTTTTTTGTGAGTTCTCTATGATGTGAGGTACATGCCTGTAAATTTTCAAGTCATTTGGCTAATCCAAATAAGAATTAAAAATTGCCAAAGATGGCGGTGTCAAAACGTGCTCGCCCACGGATCACTTCTTACTTTTTGTTTTCACTTTAGTTCGGGGTGTAAACAATTTTATTATTGTTTGAAACTTTTTTAGTGGGTTTTGTATTATGTGAAGTACACATCTGTAAATTTTCAGGGCATTTAGCTATGCCAAAACAAAATGAAAAATCGCCAAAGATGGCGGTGTCGAAAACATGCTCGCGCACTCACTAAATTTAATTCTCTTTTTATTTTTATTTATTTTTATTATTAGTATTTTTTTCCGTATTTTATTTTTATTTCAAATTTGGTAAGGAAWTCGGATGTAATGCTCAGGCAAATCTTGTTTAATTTATTGTTCTCCATAACATATCTTTTTTTCAGATTTTTTTGATGAATTTTTTTTTTTTTTTTTTTTTTGGGGGGGGGTCCGCGTTCGGCCCGAACGGCGGAACGCATCCCCAAGGGGTCCCATACGTTCGGGCGTTCGACCCGTCCCGAACGCCGGTTACCCTGGTAATAATAATATTATACTACTTTCTGAAAAAGAGAAGAAAAAGAGAGAAAACAGGGAAAAAAAAGGGAAGAAAAACTCTGAAAAAGAGAGAAAAAAAAGGCTAACAGAAAAAAAAGAACAAAAAGGGGAAAACAAGGATAGAAGTGAATAATATTATACTACTTTCTGAAAAAGAGAAGAAAAAGAGAGAAAACAGGGAAAAAAAAGGGAAGAAAAACTCTGAAAAAGAGAGAAAAAAAAGGATAACAGAAAAAAAAGAACAAAAAAGGGAAAACAAGGATAGAAGTGTTATGATCCTGGCCAATTTGGAAGTACAAAATTCATGAGAAAGCACAATGCCGTCCAATTACAAAAGAAATGAATACTTAAGAGGGGACAGAGGGAAAGAAGAAGAAGAAGAAGAAGAAGAAGAAGAAGATGTACGCCAGCAAAGACCAATGATAATTCCCTTCTTCTCTCCAACCACTCTCCTCCTCCTAATAATAATAATAATGTTGAATGGCTGAACCAGAATCAATGTCTGAATCCCTCTTCTACTGCTTGGCATAACATGAGGTCCACCATAGCCATGGCCGCCCCCTCCTTCCTCTTCGTGAAGGCCGAGGCTAGCAGCTATGGCTGCTCCTGCTCAGGTCGCCATGCCTGACTCTGCCCCGAAGCTTCTTGATGTAGATCTGCCCCAATGGGGCCTTCCAGATGCAGCACTCACCTTTGATGGGGCCTTCCCGGGTCCTTTCCCGGCCGGGCCGCCCGGGAAAATAAGGTGACCCGGGCGGCGCGGTTGGTAGCCTAGTCAAAATTTCATTAAAAAAATAAAAAATGGTCTCCAAATTCCAATGCTTTCTAAATATAAGTGCCATATTATGATATGCTGATCATCCACTTATCTGCTTTCCACAGGGTCTGATGAACAGTCATGAGGACTTGCTGGCGGCGCTGCCGTTGAAAGTACCGGAGCCGATTCCCGTTGAAACCATTCCCACGCGGCCTGGTCGCTTGGGACCTGCCCAGAGTGGTGAGCCGGCAAATGAAAACGAGGGCGCTAGCGGTTCCGGCGCGGGAGAGGAGATTTCTGGAGGCGGCTCGCTCAGAGACTTGGTGTCACGAGGACTGAAGATGACACAGGCGAATGCATTGGTTAGCTGTGTTGTTCGTGTGCGCAAAGAGCTTTCGCAAGTGACTGATGTCCCCGTACTCATCGCAATTGACGAGGTGAGAGCAAAGCAAGGAAAGGACCGATCCATCGAGATTCGAAATTGATTGATTGCTTGCTCAATCGATTGATCGCTCAATCAATCAATCAATCGATTTACTCGGTTGGTCGATCGTTTAGTCGATGGATTGATCGCTCACTCATATGATTGATAGCTTGATCCATCATGTCATATACCGCCAACAATATAAAATAAAAAAAAAGATTCCGGTTTTGGTTTGTTTTCAACCCTGTCTGTTACAGTTTTTGGCAAGTTTTCCCACTTCTGTGATGCGCTATTTTAGGTAAATATGTGCTAGCTTTCCAAATCAGGCATGGGTGATCTTTTCAATTTCTTTTGATTCTTATCTCATGTTTTGTTTTTTGTAAACCTGTATGTGATGTGTGATGTGTGATGATGATGTTTCAGACTCCTGACAACGCGGACATCTGGTTGCGAACTTCTTTTATGATTTTTTTTTTTTTTTTTTTTTTTTTTTTTTTTTTTTTTATTTTTTTTTTTTTTGTTTTTTTTTTTTTTTTTTTTTTTTTTTTTTTTTTTTTTTTTTTTTTTTTTTTTTTTTTTTTTTTTAACGCATGTATATTATACCTATGTATAAGATCTGTCAGTCCTGACGAGTCCAATGACATGTACCGTCATTATGCTCAAATCTTTGAAAAGAGAAGCATGCTTGTGAAAACCGACTACCTAAGATTGGCTCGGCGGCATTTGGCAAGAAAGATGCGATGGAATGATAGTGTCCAATTTTCTTAGTTAATTTGCACAGTGTTCTTCGACTTGAAGACTACGCCATCGCGTTTCGTCGATAGCATCTGTGATGTCTGAAGAAATGATGATGGAAAGAGATTGGATCGTGGGAGCAGCAGGATGATTTTGCAAAGAGATGAGAATAAACTGCAGAAGCAGACTGAAGAAGGACAAAGGTAGCGAACAAGAAAGAGTAGAAACCTGTCTGAGGAAAATGTACAAATTGCCAAACAGCCCCTTCTTATTCTTCGTCCTCGTCGTGGTTGTGGTCGTCGTCCTTTCAATAATGGCCCAACAGGACCTGCTTCTGCTTTTCTTCGTCCTCGGCATTGTCCTCGCCCGCCGTTTGTCCTCGCCGGTTGTCGTGGGCGTTGTCGTTGTTGTTGTCACCATCCTTGTCGTTGTCATGGTGGTTCTAGTCCTCGGCCTCGTCATTGTCTTCATCGTCATTCTTTTCTTTCTTTCATACTGCAATGCTACTGTTTTTTTTTTTTTTTTTTTCTTCCCTACCGTTCTTCAACCTGTACTCATTTTCTTTCTTTTGTTTCGTCTTCATGTTATGCTGGGGTGGGAACACACACTCTTATCAGTTCAACTCGTGGTTCGGCTACAGCGATTATCAGGAATCCAGAGGTCCGTCCAGTCGGCGAAACATCAGAGCTGAGGATCTAAGGATGGTATAGTATACTATTTTTCTTAATTTTTTACAAACCCTCCTAACTCGTCTCCGTCCCCACAATCACAGCCTTATCCCTTCTCCTGATTTATTCATTGCTTTTGGTTCCCCCCCTCCTTTTTTTTTTTTTTTTTTTTTACTTTTCTGTGGCCTCCCGACTGGTCTGGGTGGGCTGTGAGGAGGGGTTTTATGGCGCAGGGTGCATTTCATGGGTGTGCAGGCCTGTAAGCAGCAGCATACATACCTCATGGAAGACGAGGTAGGAGGAGGAGGAGGAGGAGGAGAAGATGACGAAGTCGAAGAAGACGAAGAAGAAGAAGAAGAAGAAGGAGAAGAAGAAGAAGAAGAAGAAGAAGAAGAAGAAGAAGAAGAAGAAGAAGAAGAAGGAGAGGAGGAGGAGGAGGAAGAGGAAGACGAGGTAGGAGGAGGAGGAGGAGGAGGAGAAGAAGAAGAAGAAGAAGAAGAAGAAGAAGAAGAAGAAGAAGAAGAAGAGGAGGAGGAGGAGGAAGAGGAGGAGGAGAAGAAGAAGAGGAGGAGGAGGAGAAGAAGAAGAAGAAGAAGAAGAAGAAG